CATGGGGCCAAAATACATATCCAATCTATTTCCGAGTAAGCAGCCAGCTTGTAGAATCCGGGGTCAGAACCAAACAAGGTGAAGCTGCTTTTAGCTACTATGCTGCCTATAAATGGAATCAGCTTCCTTATGATCTTAAATGTGCCCCATCTCTAAATATTTTTCCTGCCAACTTTCATGTGTTCATCAGCCCTTGAATGAATGTTTTTTTTTATGCTGCACCTTCTGCACTGTAACTGCCCACCATTAACTTTGCCTTTTATCAAAATTTTAAATCTCAAACGAGTTTGTGCACGTAATTTATTTGTATATTTTAATTATGCTGTCATATTGATTTTAACATTCGTGGTATTCTTGCTACTGGAAAGCACATTGAATTGCCTCATTCAACTAAAGCTGCCTTGCCTTGTTTTCTTGCTCGAACACAGCTGCTTTTAATGGGTGGGAGTTCAACAGGCTTTTGCAGAACCTGGTGTTATGCTGTACAGGTAATTCAACTTTGCAATCAGGTCTGTTGGAGCAGGGAAACAACTAACTCGCTGGACAGGGGCCATCAAAGACCAGGGTAGGAGACCCTTACCATAGATAATCTGTAATAACATTCACACCTACTACAAAAATATTTAATCCATGCTGATTATCACAAACAGCAGACATTTAAGATAATTCAATCATGAACATTAACATTGATCACCAGTGTTGGGCAAGTTACTTCAAAACTGTAATGCATTATTTATTACTTGTTACCCTCATTTTAAAGTAATTCATTACATTACAATATTACAGATTTTAAAATTTAAGGCATAACACTACTTTTGCATTACTTTAAGTTACTTTCACCAAAACAACTTCAATATGAATCTGGTAATCTGACGCTCAGTGAGCTCATGACATATATGTGGAAAGTGATGTGGTGTCTGAGCTAGGATTGCTGTTAAAAACAGTCAGATATAATAAAAGTGCTTTAAAATGATTGTTTATTAAATAAAAGCAACAACAATCTGTACTCTCAGCATGCTGCCATCTTATATTAACTGAGCAGGGAGTGAGGTGGTGGGGGCTCCAAGCCTATATTTGCCTTGGTCCCCAAATGCCTTGATACAGCCCTGGATGTGGGACTGACTTCTGGGGTGATCTGATTCTATCACATGTAAAAATTTTAAATGCTTATATATGATTGCTTTTCACTGGTAAAAATGTGTATTGGGGATAAATCTACCTACTTTTTTCTTTTCAAGCACTTTGTTTTGTTTTCTTGATTTTATGTTAATTTCCTGCCCTTTCTCTCTCTAACCTTCCTGCATGCTGCATGTTTTCTCTGTCTTCCAGAAAAACTGTTTCCAGATTTCCTACTTTCTAACTAATCAGCCAAGATCTACCGAACACACAAAAAAAAGCTTAATATGCGCTGCGCTCCAGCAGCAATGACTTGTAATCATCAGGGCACAGATTATGAACTCAGCTGAAAAGTACATGAAGTACCAGAGAATATGGGCTGATATAAACGATCACAAACAAATTACTTTGTTTTGGTGGAGCCATTTTGTGAATATAACAGCGGCCGCGCGCAGAATGCAGCTGGAGTATTTGGGCCATTACCGCTGCGTCCTCTCTGCTCATAGAATGCCCGCAAAGCTGAGTCCACAAATGACGTCATATATGTGGATACTGGATCTTTTTTCAGGCTTCCTGCAATTTGAATTTTTAGGAAACCCACATCTTGATTCTGGGTTTAAAAATGCATTGTAAATACCGTGTTACCCTGTAATGCCTTATATTACCACAATACAGCAAAAGGCAATGCATTACAGTAATTAATTACATTTGTACCGCGTTACTCCCAACACTGTTCATCACTACATCTTCTTCACTTGCTATTCCCAGAAGCAATCGTAAAACCAGAAGAAAAAACACAAACCAAATTTTCTACTAATACGCAAATTTAGCATTGCATTTCTTTGTTTGGTGTTCCAGATGAGTTGACGCAGATTAGGAATCTCTCCCTTGAGCGCTCTATCCTCCAGCTCACCTAGTCCTTGCAGCTACTATGGCAGCGATGTCAAACTCAAAATTTAAGAAAAGCATTTATGAAAACACTTAAATCTGACTAAAATGGATAACATCAAAAATCAAATGCACAGTCTGTGTGATTCACTTTTTAAAACATTCCATGCATTTTGCATTTCCTTGCATGTAAACAGACAGTGGTAATGGCGGCCATCAGCAGTTTTAAGGGTCTACATTTGCATTTGGTGCTTTTAGTTGATGTAGAAATCATAACAGTTTTTGCCCTAGGCACAAAGCCATATTAAATCTGAATCATGAAATTATGCTCAGTAGCATATTGTTACCACATAAAACACACAATGTGGGACCACTGTAAGCATTAGGATGTCCTCACCTCTTCCTGTGCTGTAATGCTGCAGCTTGTCACTGTACACCGCCTCCTTGCTGTATGCTCTTTTCCTAAGGGAGCAGTGGAAAAGAACATAATAATTGACAGGATGAAAAGGAAGACTGCTCACAATTTTCTGTATGGTCTGAGGATGCTGCAGATGAAATTGAATCACTGGCAAAGGGTTAGCAATGGCAAATGAAGTTTATGAAAATGAGCTGATTTTTAATTAGACCTTGATATGATCTCTCTCCTTTTCATCTGTCTCCTCTGCTTCAGCTTCAAAGAGCCCAGCCCATTTGATGAACACTTGACTTGCTTAAACGTGCATACAGCACAAGAGAAATCTTCACTTTCATATATTTAAAGTGGAGGAAGACAAGATTTTTGACAGTGTGGCAAACTGATGCAAAATGAGATTGGATTAATGGGGCAAAGTGGAAATTGTCACATTCTGTATGGAATGGAGTCGTCTTTTTATAGCAACTTGTTTTTCCATTTGACCACACTGTTTACTTCATTTTTGGGGATTTTTGCTATCTTACTTTGAAAAAGGTAGAAGATGAAAGAAACCAAGGAAATAAACAACAATAACCATTAATTTAAAGAATATTTTCAGAGTTTTTCTCTTTCAGAAATTATGTATGATTTTTCAGAAATCTGTAAAAGTGATTATCTTAACATGTACTGTGATATAATGTAAGCAATACATCTTTTTTTTTTCTAAGCACGCCCCCTGCCCCGCAGAGCTCCGTGCAATAGGAAACTGAGCGCCAACCAGAACTAACCAATAGTGTTAGACGAACGCTTTAAGGAAGTACATCGGTTGATGCAGAGTTGATGAACTTTTCATGGACAAGTAAGTCTTTAAAATATAAATATATGAGAACACAACATGACATGAAAATAATACTTGTAAAACAACATGTTTTAGCTCTATTTGTTGGCTACAGAAGGAAATAAATAAACAAGAAATATGAAGTTGCCATCTTTAAAAAACTGAAGGAGAAATTATTTGTGTGATATGCTTGTCAGCCACTAGATGGCGCCGTCAGATAAGAGAAATACTCCGGAAAGAGACTTTAAGTGTCTTTTTTTTCCTCTGCAGTTCTTCAAAATTTAAGGTGACAAGAGACGTGTTGTAAGAACTTTGTTGAGGAATGTAGTTTTGAACATAATCTTAATATAATTTAACTTCCCTCAAATTTACAGCACTGACAGTTAGAAACAGGTCTGGGAATCTGTAAGGCTTGTCACCAGCATTCGGACATCAATGTTGTTGGCTTCACAGCCAGACAGGACACAGGAAAATAATAAATAAATAAATAAATAAATAAATAAAAAAATACATAAATAAATTAATTAATTAAAAAAAGGGCCTGGGCTCACAAATACAAGCGATAGATATTCTGCAAGTCTCTTTTGTCTTGGCCCCCAAAATACATTGAAACTGTGTAAGTTGGGGACTTCTTCTTAACCAGCTCAATGGCCTAGTAGTATGAATGTCCACCCTGGGACTGGGAGACCAGGGTTCAAGTCCCAGTCGAGTCATACCAAAGACTTCAAAGAAATGGGACCCGATACCTCCTCACTTGACACTCAGCAGTACAGGGTTGAATTGGGAGATTAAACCACTAAATGGTTCCCAAACATGGCTATGTCTGCAGCTCACTGCTAGTGTGTGTAATAACTAGTGGGACTTTTAACTTCTAGGGGAGCCAGTCACCCTTTTAGGGGAGCCAGGCTCCCCTTTGCTCCCCTTTGCTCCACTGTAATTCAAACCTTGTCTAAAACAATAATCAGGATGTTGAAATAACTCTCCGTTTGTATAACTTGTACATTACAACACCACCAGCAGCAGCCTGAATCATTGTTATAAGACAGAATAGATCCATGTTTTCATTTACATCAAATTCTGACTTGACTCGGGAGACCACCATGAGTTTTCCCCATCTTGTATTATCCCAGTCTGGTGATTCCAAATTTTAGCCACAGTTTACTGTTTTTGGCTGACAAGGCTGTTGTGTTCATTGATGGTTTTATGGTTATATGAGAAACTGTTGCATTTCTTTCTTCTTGAACCTTTCTGCCATTCTTCTCTGACCTCTGCCATCAGCAGAGCATTTGGCTCACACTACTGCTTTTTTCGGACCATTAACTGAAAATGATATGGCTGGCTGTCAAACTCCCAGTATATGGGCTGTTTTAGAAAATTTCTGACCCAAGCATCTGGCAATTAACATCCATGTCACAATTAAAATCACTTAAGTCACCTTATTAGTGCTTGATTAGAACTTCCACAAGTTATCTTGATTGCCTAGATGCCTAAATGCATTGAAATGCATTGGATTGCTGCCATGTGATTGGCTGATAAGCTACATATGTTTAATAGCAATTCAACCAGTGTACCCATTGGCTTGTTGAGTGAATTTTGCTGCTGGTTAACTGCATAACCCTGCATCATACATACTCTGTAATAGGGCTGGGAAATAAATGGAACATTAAACATTATCAAAATTTCAGACTCTTATCGAGATCATTTTTCCCATGTCAACAAATTTGATAATAAAAAATATTAAAATATGTGTGAAGGTTGGCAATGTTCATGTACCTTTAAGAAGCTGTACCACCTTGAGTCACATAAAAATGTGACTCATCGTAATACATGTGATAGCTCCCTCTAGTCGACAATTTTTCTTTCTGCGCATACCTAGAGATGTTGTCCATTTATCGTTATCTAGGTGAAATCCTCACTATATCGTGATATTGTTTTTGGCCATATCGCCCAGCCCTACTCTCTAAGGCCAGTCCCTATCGACACCTCCATTGTACAAGGTTAAAAAAAATCATGCAGCAGTTTTATTATTCATATTCCAAATTAAGACAGACAATCTCATTGCCACTTGACACTTTTGGCAGCGACAGCCACCGAAGTTTAATGGTAATTGCAGAAATAATGTGAGACAACATTTATCTTGAAAAGAAGATGGAAGTCTGAAAGATTAATTCTTTTTTGTCATGACAGTAGGGACAATGAAGTCATGATCTTTGCATTGTACATTACAATAGACTAGACAGAAAAAAAATCTGCTCACCTGCTGCATACAATGGAGATGGCAATAAGGGAAACAATAAAGACCACTCCAGCAGCTGCTGATCCGGCAATCAGAGGAAGCTGTTCCCTCAGCTCAGACTTGAAGTCTTCTGGGTAACACAGAAAAAAAGAGTCGACAGGTTTTGAGAATGACTCAGATAAGGCACAAGAAGGATGGCTGTGTTTGTTTGGAGGTGTGTATAGAGAGGGTGTTTTAAATTTGATAGAGTTTGGAAAACAAAATGGAGGGAAAAGTGGCTAGGCTGGCTGGACTGATGGATAGAGTAAACATATGGATTTGTCAGCAAAGAGGTACCAGCTGAAATCCTGTGAGCTCTCAAAAGAGAAACTGGCAAGTTGTGTTTGATCAGGCAGGAGAAAAGCAGCAAATGAGAGACGGACACAAAACTAACAAGGAGGGAACTCAATGTGACAGGAATTGTTTACTCTTTTAACTTGCACACTTATCAAGAATGTTTCAATAAAAACAGTACGTATGAATGCTCTTGCAGCCACTTGAGCTTCTAGTCTTTCTGACATCTTTTGATATGTATTAGTTGTGATGGGACCATTTAAATCTTTACTCATATGACAAAGAAATTATTTTTTACAGTTTGAAATCCTATAAATGCCAAGTAACAGTGTTAAAGAGGTTTGTGCTAAAATCAAGTTTGTTCTTGAGGTCTAAGTCTAAGTGGAGAACTGCAAATCTCCAACATAGGCTCGTTAAATGACGTATTCATTGCAAACTCGTGACAATTACGAGAGTTCTGCTTCTGAAAATGACTGTGTGCTCAGAGAGGTCAGGGGAATATCATGCAGGAGTCTATAAAAGTGTTCTGACAGGAGGACAAAGGCAATCGCATGCTTTGAAGACACTGAGCAGAAGACCGTGGAGGTGTCCTCTTCATGAGGTAATGAAGCGATTTGATGGTGAGAGGAAATACTGGTAAGAGGGACAGGAGGTGGGGGCGTGGGTGTTATCGTCAGCTGTCCTCTAGTGTCTCTCGCTAATTGCCTTGACGAATGTCGTGCTATGGCAACCAGCCAAAGGATGAACGGTAAACGGAGTGTGCGAGTGTGAAGAGCGAGCACGTGTGTATGCCTGAGGGAAAAGATGGTTTCTGAAGCTGGAGAGCAAAGGGGACCACAAGTGTGCCGCCACATCTGCTCTGGTCAGGTAAAAGGCAAAATGATCATTTTCATCATCATTTTTATGTTAGCCATTTCCCCTTCCACCAAGATCATTTCCGTTTCATACCCTGTTAGGATCCTTATTAGTCATTATGCAGTGTGGACATGTCTCCTGTTTTTCTGCAACTGGTTGAAGTTACAGATATCCAGTCAAATGTTATCTTGTCTAGAATGAATTTTGCTTTGTTGGTGGCATGACAGATTGTCAAGCCTGGGTGGGCCATGAGGAAGAGGAGCGCCGCCATTTGCACCAACACTAATGAAAATACTTCCAAACGCGTGCCAGTGTACCAGGTGTTGCAGCCCCTGTTCAGTTCCTTCCCTCGCCAACAGCCCGCTGCCTCCCTCGGCAAAAAATGATAATAATAATAATCTCATCAACAACTAATCACAGCTATGCATTCTGGGACAGCTCTCCAGCAACAGAAGGCTGGGTGGAAAACCAATTAGCTAAGCAATTTGGATAACGCACAGTTCCTTACACAAACAAAAGACACTGCGTGGATATTTAAAAGTCCCACACACACTCAAAGGAAGGAAATAAAGTTTGATTTAACTAAAAAAGAATTAAAAAAAAGCTAAATCAAATATATACCTGCTTTATTTTTCCTAACAGTGATAACACGTACATGAAAAAGACCATAAGTGGCAGAAAGAGATGAACGTGTGAAACGAGAGAAAAAGGACAGAACAGGACAGACAGGCAGAGCTGATTCTTCTGGCTCTGCAATCCTTACCATCTGTGAGGGTTTGGAAGCACATCTTGCTGCTGAATTTGCCAAAGCCGGCCACAGTCCGTGCCCGCACCTGTACCACATATACCGTGCCCGGCCTCAGGCCCTCCACACGCGCCGTATTAGTTTGGCTACGCAGTACAGTGGAGTTGATCTCTGCATGATCCTGAAATAAGTGAACACAAAAAGGAAAGGTAGGTTAAATGAGACAGTGTTAAACACGTTGAAAGAAAGTGGACTGACTTGGGAGAAAATCATCTGAAATTCTGTTATTTTCCAGTCCACTAATGAAACATTTCTCTTAGGGGAAGAATTAAATTAGTAGATGCTAGATAAGAAGCGGAACAAAGCTGATGAAGGCTTTAAGTTTTCCTCTAGTTTTAGAGAATTTACGACTTTCATCACCGTACTTTACAAAAGTGAAAACAAACAACTAGAATAATCACACAAACAATGCTACCCTGTTCACTCGTGTTACAGATGCAAAACTCAGCAAGTAAATGCAACCAGTTAACAAGAGCAATCGCTACATCATTGTGAATTCCACCTTTTAATAAGTGCTTACTAATGTGGATGGGTTACTGGAGAACATCTTCCTGTTTTACTATTTGGAGTTTAATACATAGCAGCAATATGTAGCAATATAGAAGCCGGGTTGAGCATCAGCTCTAAATTCGAGACCAGGGTAGAATGCCCTCTCCAGGTCAGAAAAGAAATCCTGCCTCAAGAGGAGGTATCTCTGGGTCTTGTTCACGAGTGAGAGGAAGATGGTTAGGGAGATCGATAGGCAGATCGGTGCTGCGTCTGCAGTGATGCGGGCGTTGTACCGGTCTGTCGTGGTGAAGAGAGAGCTGAGCCAGATGGCAATGCTCTTGATTTACTAGTCTATGTACGTTCCTACCCTCACCTATGGTCACGAGCTTTGGATGGTGCCCAAAGAATAAGATCGCAGCTACAAATGGCTGAAATGAGTTTTCTTCTCAGGGTGTCTGGGGGACATCCTTAAGCCTAATTATACTTCTCCGCCAGCTCCACGCGGTTGAGACACGCACGGACAGAAACATTTTGCTCCCTGATTTCTCCGTCTCCTGGGGAGTGTTGCAAAGCAGTTCCCCACCAGGACAACAGAGGGTGCAGTGCTGTTCTCTGGTATCCTGTCATGTATCCAGTTCAAGTTAGTGCATTTAATATTGTGTTTTTATTGTGTTTCTTTGTATTTAAGATACTTCTTAATGCTGATAAATTTGTTACTCATTCTGCTCCACCTCTTTATGAGCTCACCATCTCTAAACACACGTTTCCCATCATTTCCATCCACAAAAAAAAAAAAAAAAAACGCTTGCTGCATGTCTTTGATGAATAAAACGTTGACATTTCTAGAGTTTTTCCATGATGCATTCTTCAAGCTGCCCCGTGTCTGCCGCTAGATATCTTCGGCTCTCTTTATGTTTCTGAGAGTGCCATGGCGGTGCTGTCGACGACAGCGGTGGCGTCCTGACCAATCACAAGCTTGCATTCTTCATCCTTGCGAGCCTGCTGGAGAGCCATCGAAAGTACGGGCGATGGAGTTGTGTCCCTCTATCTCGACACAGATGGAGAAGTATAAATTAAGCTTCAGAGATAGGGTGAGAAGCTCGGTCATCAGGGAGGGGCTCAGAGTAGATCTGCTGCTCCTCCAGGTTGAGAGGAGCCAGTTGAGTTGGCTTGGGCGTCTGGTTAGAATGCCTCCTGGATACCTCTCTGGTGAAGTTTTCCAGGCATATCCAACTGGGAGGAGATCCAAAAATAAGACCCAGGACACGCTGGAGGGACTAGTTCTCTCTGATGGCCAGGGAACGCCCTGGGACTTCCCCGGAAGAGCTGGCCCAAATGACTGGGGAGAGGGAAGTCTGGGCCTGCCTGCTAAGACTGCTGCCCCATGACCCGACTCCGGATAATCGGAGGAGGATAGATGGACTGATGGAGTTTAATATAATTTAGTCAAAATGCAACATCAGACCATTTCCACCCCAAACAAAATGCATTTTATTTATTCACTAAATTGTATAAATATTCTCTGTGCACTCATTGCTTGTGGGAGCATTCTTTAAAAGCACTTTACCATCTTGTAATCTATTGTTTTTAAACTAGTAAGATCCTGTCAAAAATATTATTTCACCCATGAGGGCACACATTCCGCATACATCCATTTGGTAATACTCCATTTAAATTCATGATTATAAGTCAACACATACATACAGAAAGCCATTAATTACATTGTTTTTCTGTTCTGAAGCACTGCTTCTCTTCCCAGGCTGCACATGACAGTCAGGCAGGCTGTTGCAGGGAATTCTGGGACTTTCTGATACAGGATCTGCTATAGGGGATCAGTAATGCATTGAGCCTGTCACCCTCCCAGAACACCGAGTGAATATACCAGCCAGAAGATAAGCCTGCACCTACACTACACCCACCACTGCTGGCCGCCGGAAGCTTTATGCTGACAAACCAGAGAGCAGTTCCAAATGCAGTTGTATTTTTCTTTGTGTCAACACGACAGCGTAAATAAAAGTAGTGTTTATTAAGATTAGGATGCAGACCATTGCTCACAGGGGGACAAAAACTTCTGAAATATGGAGGAATTTATTGTTTACAAAAGTGTGGAGCAAGAAAACAAACTGGAAACAGCGAAGGCAGGGAATGTGAAGGAGGAACGAGGTGTGTGTGTGTGTGTGTGTGTGTGTGTGTGTGTGTGTGTGTGTGTGTGTGTGTGTGTGTAGGGGATGAAAGATGGCAGGAAGCGATAAGAAACTGGAGGCATAGGCATCCCACACTGAAATCATTATCCAATCTGATTGGTGTAATTGAATCATTCCGGCTGCTCCGTCGCTAAGCAGACGAGGTAAACACAGCTATGAAATCTGCTCTCTCCTCTCACACTCCCCATTCCACCGCCACCACACTACACACACACACACACACACACACACACTAACATAATGATGAGTGCAATCACATTACCTCTTATTGGACACTCTGAGCTTGATGAAGACAAATGTTTGGGCCCGGGATGTGGGGTCATTACACCAAAAGGATCTAATTCTTTCCGCGAGAGGAACAACATTTATAAATGGAATACTGGATGTAACTGGTTTAAAGAGTTTAATCGTTTTGCATTCTTTTTCTTATATTTTTTTCTTGATCACAAGATCACATAACATGCTTCTCTTCCAAATTGCTGCAGACTGAAATATATGAGACTGGAATTTAAAGCAACAGCTTGTGTGTTTGAAAGATTGCAAGAAACCCCTTGAGAGTGTAGAACAAGAATCAACTATTCATATGGTTGGAGTCATGGTTGGGTGCAGGTGGACCCCGTGAGGTCAAGATTAGCCTATGCCTGCTAATTCTTTCTCCAAAACCGCACCCCTGTCTGTTGCACATGAGCGGAGAACAGGTGATCGGGCAGATGGCAACCCGCCAATGGATGAACGTCCCTTGAGAGAAAACTAGCTCAGAATGGCCTCTTCATGCTGCCTGTCAAATGGAGATTATATCGGATACACACACACACACATGTACACACACACACACATGTACACACACACACACACACACACACACACACACACACACACACACACACACACACACACACACACACACGCACACGCACACGCACACATCTGCCACTTGGGCTAGCATTTGGCATCACAGCACATTTGAAGACAGCCAATAGAAGGCCATGCCAGGAGGGACTTCCAGCTATGAAAGGTCCTCCCCTGCTGCCAGTCAATTGGGGATTAGGAGGACCACACCCCAACATGCTAAATCAGGACCGGGGTTGCAGGTGGGAAGGCAGATGGTGGAACAGCCAATCAAAAACTTTGCCAGAGGTGACAGACAGGAAGCACTGTGGGAAACTGACTCCCCGTGCAACATAGTTTGCTCACTTTTGAGCACTGGGAGTAGATGCAGACAGAGATGCTTCATACACATGTGTGTTCATGGTTTGCCATTTTTGTAAGAAAGTTATTTATTGGTCCATGGCAAAATTATTTGAAATTATAAATTAAGGTAACACCAAATAAAGTAATTAATCATGTCCTTGGGCACTGCTTCATGGTTTTTTTTCTTGTCTGTATAATACCTGCCAAGAACCTAGAAGTGTGTGCCAAAGCAGGTTTTGCAGAAACAGGGCCACAAAGACATATGCTGGAATAGTGTTTCAGATGAAAAATAGTGCGGCAGCAAAGCAAATGAAAGAACGAAATAAGTCTTTTTCAAGAGATTAAATTCTGAATATTAAAAGTAGAAAATCTGGGGTTCTGATAAATCTTTAACCTCAGTCGCTTGCTTTTACCAATGAAGTATCTACTTCAGGTGAGTCTTTCACAAAACATAGCAACTATACATATTTTTTATAAATGTATTCTAATTATTATACATTTCATTTTACAAAATAAAAAAATGGAACCTTGGCACTGGCTTGCTCACAATGTTACAGAGCTTCTTTCCAGTGTCACATAAAAAAAATCTGTATAAAATGTATCTTCTATAGTATTTGTTGGCACATACATTTTATTTGGTGGCGCAGTGGTTTGCACTGTTGCCTCGCAGCACTAAGGTCACAGGTTCAAAACTCGGCTGCGGCCTTTCTGCGTGGAGTTGCGTGTTCTCCCCATGCATGCGTGGGTTTCCTCCGGTTACTCCGGTTTCCCCCACAGATCACAACATGCCCTATAGGTTATAAATTGTAAGTCGCTTTGGATAAAAGCGTCTGCTAAGCAGATAAACACAATAAACACAATTTGGTGATGCTGTTTTTCACATGCAGTTTTTTTTGTCTTTAAATCTACAATGGCAAATTTGGAAAACAAATTAGCTTAAAAGTTATTTTCATGCCTCTTAACATTCTAGCATAGTATAGCTATAAATATATTGTGGAGGTTTTAAAAAAATGAATAAAGTGGTTCTCTTGCATTTGTCAAAAGTCGTCCGCCAATAAAGCGTTTTCAAAGCAACTATTGGTCCATCTGGTTTTCGGGCTCGCCAAACCACTGCACCTCTACACCTCCCTGGGTGCTTCACTTGCCTGTGTACTTAGTAACAGAACACAACTGGTTTGAGAGGTTCTTTGCTCAATAATATCAGAAGTGAATCAGCCGGCTGCTACCATTCCAACTT